AGGGTGGCCTCCCTCTTCAGCTCTTCTTTGACCATCTTCACATTTTCCTTATGGTCTGAATTCCTTATTTTCCTAAGTATAGGTCACTTTTCCTGAAAGTTCCATTAAAAAATTTGAATTTATAATCTCGTAATAAACACCAATAAGTGTTTGATGACTGAATATGTGGTTAAATGAAAATCACTTTTATTAGAACTTTTTTACAAAAAGAATTACTATTTTTAAAGAGTCAGCTCCCGGATTCTGCTTAAAAATATGGTTTTAATGTATTCACAAAAAATTCTTGTCACTTTTTTTTCAAAAACATTATAGGATGTAAAATATTCCCTTTGTAGTCAACAAAATAGCTAAAACAAAAATGATCGCCAGAAAGATTTACTCACGCTGTGTCACCCAAATGCTAAGAATCATCTGTGGCTCCCACTGTCTCCTGAAGAAATTCCAAGTTCCTTAGCCCCCCATTTAGGGGCTAACATGAACTGCTCCCAGCCTTTCTGAACGCCTGCTCCTCCAAGTCGAGACCCCACTCTTCCGTCAGGAGTGAGCTGTGAACTGCTGCTTGCTCCACCGTGAGCTTTGGCTTCTGTGGTTTTTTCTGCTTAGAATGCCTTTTACCCCTCCCCTACCTCATGTCCTCCAGGGCTCGGTTAAAATGTCTTTGTAAAGCTCTTCCTGAAGCATTGTCTCCTCCGTCTGGATCCCACAGCATTTTGTCTTATAGTTATCACTTCTGTTCTTACACGATCAGCATTTCTATATTGGGTTGTCGGAAAAGTCATGATGCATTTTTGCAATGAAAAACATAGAAAAACACGTCATGACTTTTCCGACAACCCAATAGAACGACTTCTATTTCTCTGCTTGATGGTAAACCCTTAGGGTCACGTCTGTGTCTAATTCACCTCTAACTTCCTGCATGGGACTTAGCTTTATGCCTCGGTGACAGTTCTTATCCCAAACACTAACAGTCCACCTTCCACTTCAGTTCAAACAAGAGGGCCAATTTTATTTATTTAAAAAGCAGGGCATAGACGTAGTTACATGTTTCTTCATAATGTTATTCGCATGGTACTTTACTTTGTATTGTTGTATTTCCTTCTCAAAATAGGCCTTTGAGTAGTGGCATCAGGTAGTTACCCAATTATACAGATGAGCGAAAAGTGTGAGCTTTTTTAATGTCATGGAGGATTAAAATCGAGTCTTGTTGAGTCCAAACCAGTGCTTCCCTATTAACTCATTCATTGTGTTTGAATCTCAATGACAGGCATCTAAACATTTTAATTGCTTTTGAATCTGTGCTTATAATAAACAATTTCTATGAGGACGTTTTGTAGAACATACGCCGTATCCCAAGTCTGTAGTTTTTCATTTTTCCGACAAGCATTTGGGGAACATGCATTCAGCATGAACAGAGCAACATCTCTTTCAGAGCAAAGGGAACATTGAGGACAGAGGAGAATCTACGGGACACACACAATCTAATTCCTGTGTTCTAGGGGTATAGACAATCACATGCAAGTGCATTGACTCAGAGCTCGTTGTGGTTATACTTAGAAGGTTCAGTGTTTAATAAGGAGACATAATGACCTAAAACCCACCTTCTATTTAAGAGGAAAACGTGCCTCCAGAGGACATAGAAAAGGTTGCAAATCGTGTACTTGACATCCACCTGCCAATAGCATCACAAAATCTAACCCACGACCCTGACAAAATACAGAAACTTACGCAGCTCTGTGAGAACTTCAGAACAGATGAGGACAAGCTAAATAAAACAACAGATGGAGCCCGAAAGGTTTCAGTGGAGGCACAGGCAGCTGAGTAAGTACAGTATTAATATTCTCATCTTCCTCTCACCGGCCAGCTGCTGAGGCCGTCTGAAAAATATTTGCCTAAGGAGCTAGAACGTGCAAATGAAATTACCCTCCAATAATTTGGTACCCAAACTGAGGGCTAAGCCATGTGTGGAGGGGCTCCAGGGAGCTGGGAAATTGGGGGATAGGGTGCAGGGATGCATTTCCCGGTTTCCTTAGACTCAGAATGCCTTTCTAATCATCTGTTACCTCTTTATCCCCATATGCACCAATAAATGCCATGTGCTAATTACTGGGTTGTCGGAAAAGTCATGACATATTTTTTTCTATGTTTTTTGTCACAAACATATGTCATGACTTTTCCAACAACCCAATATATGCCGGTATCTCAACAGGTGGTGGGACTATCAGAGTATTTTTCCCTTCTTGTTTTTACCTATTTTTGGTACTTTCTAAATTTACAATAATAAGCAGTATGGAGTAAAACGATATACACAGAACACAGAGTTAACTGGCTCATGCTTCCTTTTGCCCTCAGTGACTTAGCCAAGCAAAAAGTTTCCTCAATGTTTTATGAGCTTGGGTTGCGGTGGGTCAGGGCCAGTGTCAGATGAACGGTGGGAACATCACGAACACCCACGACTGTTTTGGGACGCCCAGCACAGCCAAGACCTGAGCTGCCATCACTGTCTCATGACCCACTTCTATAAATGAAGTGTACCAGACTCAACTAAGTCTGACCCCTTCCAGTTTTAATATTTAAAACTAGGAAAGTTAAGTAACAGCAGTACAATCACACCGCTATTAAAAATGATGTGGATGAAGGATTTTTAATAACACGCAGAGATTCTTACAAGGTAATGTGAATGCTTTTAAAAAGAAGATAACAGATTACACATGGAAGAGGATCTCAGCCATGAAAAGAAAAAAATTTATAGGACAAGTATGCTAGAATGTACCAATATTTTAAAAGTTGGTAGGATTACTGGTAAACTTTTCCCTTCCTGATATTTTCTTCTCTTCCTCCTCCTGCCCCTCTTACTCCGTCTTCTTCCTACTTTCTAAATTTACTATAATGAACAGTACATTGAAAATCTAAAGGAAAAAATACTACAGAAAAAAGATATGGTGTGTGTGGGGGGGGTAGGGGGGGGAATGTCATGACAAGGGAAGCCTCCTGAACCCCCACAGTAACAATAGGGAAAGAAATATAGAAAAACGAAGGCTACCTAGTGTATGGTTCCAACTGTAGGACACTGTGCAAAGGCAAAACTATGGGGACAGTAAAAAGATCAGTGGTTGCCAGGGGTTGGGGGTGAGAGGGATGAATGGTGGAGCCCAGAGGACTTTTAGGACAGTGAAAATACTCTGTATGATGCTGTGAAGATGTGTATGTGCCATTCATTATACATTGGTCCAAACCCATGGAATGTATATCAAGAATGGACCCTAAGGTAAACTATGAGATTTGAGTGATTATGATGTGTCAGTGTAGGTTTATCGATTGTAACAAATGTGACTTCTGGTGAGGCATATTGATAATGGGGTTGGGGAAGATATGCATGTATGGGGACAGAGGGCATATGGGAAATGTCTGTACCTTCCTCTCAATTTTACTGCAAACCTAAAACTGCTCTGAATAAAGTCTCCTTTATTACGAGAGAGGTTACCACTGGGAGGAGAGGATGGGTTGAATAGGGAAGGGGGTGTTTTGCAATTTAGCGACTTTGGCCCTGGACATAAGCATTTGTAACTATGGCTCTGCAAAGGTCTGTCTGATATTTTACTCACGTGGTACATTCTCCCAAAGGTGGTTTGGGGCTCATAGGTCTAAGTAGCTGGTGAATGTTGACTTGAGGTGAGTTCGCCTATCACTTGGAATGCTTGTGATTTTAACCTCTGACTGGGCCCCTGGGCAGCTGGAATGTCAGTGAAGCTTAAATAAACCTGAATAAACACAGCCCGAAAATGCAGGGCCTTTATAGTTCTCTGCTCTCTGTGGAGCTTCTTGACTCTCTCACCCCCACTCCAATAAGGAGTTAGAAATTGTTGCTTAAGTTTGAGAAATTAGAGGACTGGAATTGGCCGAGGATAGGGTTTTTTTTTTGTTCAAAACTTGGCAGTTATATCCCCAAACCTCTCTGCTTGTGACAAATTAAGAAATAAGACCTCTACCCTTGATTTCCATATCTGGCAAAATCTGTATCTGCACACACATAGCTTTGTGTTTTTACTGGCATTTAATGTGTCCATTTCTCAAAACAAAGACCCCAGCACTTAGCCTTGCTTAAGAGTAATTTAAATTTACTTTATAAATAATTCAGTGAAGTTTTTGGTTGAGTTGAATGAATTCTCAAGTTGAAATAAATGAATAATTGCACATTGATCTGATCTGATATGTTAATATTTTACCTTAGAAAAGCAGCAAGTGCTCTATTAAATCTTGACAAAATGCTGAGTAAGTTGCAACGAGTTCAAATCATTCAAGAACGGGCAAATTCTACCATCACACAGCTGACTGCAGAAATAACAAAAATACAAAAGAATGTACTGCAGGTATTTCTCTATTTCTTTTAAACCAACATGAAATAGATTTTGAGGGTGGAAACAGTCCAGTTTTTATATATGCCAGTGTCATGCTTGCCTTAACGTGTGGGAGGGATTATTGTGAGAATAAAATAAGATTATGGTAGTATTAGTATTAGGCATTTAATTAATGTTGTACAGAGCTCACCTAGCATCATTTTATTTCCTTGTTGACCAATCTTGGGGGATAAAGCAGGTGCTACCGTCAGCTTGTAAATAAGGAAACTAAGATTCAGGGAAGTTCAGTGTCTTGCGTAAGGTCACATAGCTAATGAAAGGTAAATTTGAGGCCAGAGTTTATCCCTTCTGATACCAGGGGGAGTAATAGACTTTTGAAAGCTCACAAACCCAAGAAAATGTTAATTGTCGCCAGGTTTTTGTAATTAAATGTGCATGAAATCTCATCAGACTATCCTAAGACTGAAAGAATATCTTACCTCAAGAAAGGGTTCCATCCAGAGGTCCAAGGGAGCAAAGCTATGGTTTAACCCTGGCAATGGATACAGGACAGGAGACCTGGCAATTGGAGGACAAGGACAGGACAGGATGAAGTCCCAGGGTGTGTGAAGCCTCTTCCTCCAGGGCTCCTTCCTCCAGCCCAGCCCTTCCCAGCAGACTGCAAGTTACTCAGGCTCTATTCTTCAACTGTGTTTCATAGATCTAAATTCATGCATCTTATAAAGAAAAGCAGAAAGCAATAGGACAGAGAGTAGTGCACCAGGAAATCAGAGGGTTGGATATGAGGAGGCTGCATATATAGGGTAGCAAAAGGATTAAGAAGGCCTCCAGGTTTTCCTGCTTCTAGGCATATTCTCTAGAATAGGGGTTGACAGAATATAGCCCCAGGGCCAAAGGGGCACCAGCTGTTTCTGCCTCTGAAGTCACAAAGTTTCATTGGAATACTACCACATATTGTCTATAGCTATTTTTGTGCTACAGTGGCAAGATGGATAGTGGCAATAGAGACTTTATGTATTACAAAGTGTAAAATACTATCTGGCCCTTTACAGAAAAAATTTCAGATTCCTTCTCTAGAAAAACCCTGACATATACCCAAGGGTACAGGAAGGGACTTCTGGTTCTAAAAATATGGTGGACTACTACCCCTCAAGGAACCCCTTCCTAGTAGGAAAAAAAAACCTAAAGATGTTATTAGGACAATTAAGTTTTTTTTTTTTAAGATTTTTATTGGGGAATTGGGGGAAGGGGAACAGACAAGTTGCTGT